CCCCCCCCCCCCCCCAAAAAAAAGTCTAAAACCTCCAGTGAAGCCAGTTCAAATGTGTAATTTATTTAATGTAAATTTAATTTCAATTTCAATTTTAATTTCAATTTAATCTTTTCATCTTTTCATCTTTTCATCATTTCATCTTTTCATCTTTTCATCTTTTCATCATTTCATCTTTTCATCTTTTCATGTGTATTCATGTGTAATTTTGAAGGACTTCCTTGATCTGTTGGACTCATTTAATTTAACTCAACATGTAAATGCTCCCACCCAACAACAGGGTCACACTCTGGATCTCATTTTAACACGTGATGTCTCTGTTTGTAATTTGGTAATCGGTGACAACGTTCTCTCAGACCACATGCCTGTCTTGTTTGATCCCGCCTTGTCCTACTGCTAAGTCATGTGATTCTGCACGTACTTCACGCACCATTAACCGTTTCACTGCTGCACGTTTTACTGAAGCTTTTAGCTCTGAGAGGATCGATCAGCTCTGTGTCTCTCTCCACCGAGGAGCTAACCTCTCAGCTTAACTCTGTTTGCTTAAATATTCTGGACCGTGTTGCTCCCGTTAAAACCAGGAAAACAAACCTTTTATCAGAACCATGGCTTAATGACATCACTCAAGCCGTTAGACAGCAGTGTAGGAGAGCAGAACGCAGGTGGAGGAAAGACAGGCTGCAGGTTTCTTTTCAAATCCTAAAGGAGAGTTGGCGTCATTATCAGAAGGCAGTTAAAGCCGCCAAATCGAAGTTCTTTTCTGCAATAATTGCCTCAAACTCCCACAACCCCCGAGCCCTTTTTTCCACCCTGAACTCAGTTCTACACCTCAGTGAACCTTCACCTCTAGAAGCCTCAACTGAGCTGTGTGAAAACTTCCTCCATTTCTTTTCTGAAAAAGTTTCAAACACCCAGGCACTCATTTCTCCACCTGCTCATGATCCGTCCATCCCATCTCATTGTGTTGCTGTTCTGGACCACTTCGAGCCCATCTTTCTGTCTTCCCTGGAGCAGGTCATGTGCGGCATGAAGCCATCTGGCTCCCCTTTTGACGTTGTCCCCCCTCGACTCCTGAAGGAGCTTCTTCCTGTTCTGGGCCCTCCTGTTCTTGGCATTGTGAACAGCAGCTTAGCCTCAGGTGTGGTGCCAATAACTTTTAAACATGCTGCTGTCCAACCTCTCCTGAAAAAACCTAGCCTTGACCCCTCAGTCATGTCCAACTTCCGGCCTGTCTCCAGACTCCCATCTGTCGCTATGCTGGAAAAAATAGTGGAGTCCCAGATGAAATGCTTTCTAGAGGATAACGCCCTCTTAGAGCTATTCCAGTCTGGCTTTAAACCTCTCCACAGCACTGAAACTGCTCTACTCAAGGTTTTTAACGACATTCTCCTATTCACAGACGCTGGTGATTCTGTGCTCCTTCTCTTACTGGACCTCACATCTGCCTTTGATACAATCGACCACGAGATCCTCATTGCGAGGTTAGAGCAGTGGGTGGGCATCACTGGGTCAGCCCTCGAATGGTTTAGATCTTACCTCGCTGACAGGTCCTTTTGTGTCTCCATCAAAGATTTTAGTTCAGCCTCGGCAGCGCTTAAATGGGGGGTACCGCAAAGTTCCATCCTTGGTCCTCTTTTATTTTCTTTATACCTGCTGCCACTAGGTGCTATTTTCAGGAAACATAACATACCTTTTCATTTCTACGCCAACGACTGCCAAATCTACTTCCCCCTCAGACTCAACGGTACTCGCTCTATTCAACCGTTACTGGACTGCCTGGCTGACATCAGAGATTGGATGGCTTTAAATTTCTTGAGTTTCAACGAGAAGAAATCTGAAGTTATGCTCTTTCCTCCCAATGACACAATCACCAACCACTGCATCGACCTATCCGTTCTGTCACCGTTAGTGAAACAAAGAGTCACTAATCTAGGAGTGATACTTGACCCTTCTCTGAAACTCAACAATCATGTAAATATGATTGTTAAATCCTGCTTTTTCCAGCTGAGGCGACTGTCTAATCTGAAGCCCATATTGTCCAAAAATAACCTGGAGACAGTAATTCATGCATTCATTACATCCAGGCTCGACTATTGCAACTCACTCCTTTTTGGTATCAGTCAGACCTCCATAGCTAGACTCCAACTGGTCCAAAATGCAGCAGCCCAGTTTTTGACCAGCACAAGTAAAAGAGAGCACATTACACCTGTTTTGGCCTCCCTACACTGGCTTCCAGTTCACTTTCGAATCAAATTCAAAATACTCTTGTATGTCTATAAATCACAGCTCTGCCCCCTCCTATCTTACTGATCTGCTCCAGCCGTATGTCCCACCACGTTCTCTCAGATCAGCAGACCAGTTGCTCCTCACAGTCCCAGGAACCCGTCTCAAGCGCAGAGGTGACAGGGCCTTCTCTGTAGCAGGACTAAGACTTTGGAATGAGTTACCTCTGCTCGTTAGACAGGCCCCCTCCCTCACAGTTTTTAAATCTCGCTTAAAAACACACTTTTATTCCCTGGCTTTCTGCACTGTGTGATCTGTGCTGAGTCTGTGTGCATCACACTGTGTTGGTCATGTTGCGGTTGTTGTTGTTATCCATTACTGTTTCTGTTGGTTTCTACTTTTTGGTGTCCTGTTATGTAATCTGTTGCTGTGTGCTTGTTCTGTTTGTCCCTGTACAGCACTTTGGTGTGCTTTGTCACTGTTTAAAGTGCTTTATAAATAAATTGGTATGGTATGGTAATTTATTTAAACACTTGATGTTTGATTTACAAGTGTTGTCAGTGCAGGCTCCTCTTACTAGTTGGGGCGCCTGTGGCTCAGTGGTTAGAGCAGTCGTCCTCCAATGCAAGAGGTGGGGGTTCCAATCCACCAGCAGTCACATGCCCAAGTGTCCCTGGGCAAGACACTGAACCCCTCATAGCCTCTGATGTGTCCCATCAGTGCATGCATGTGATCTAAAGCTCTGATTAGTCTCTTTAGAATGATTTGTTCAGTTCTCTTTGTACAGATCTAGTATAGAGCTGTGTGAATGGGTCAGTGAGGCACAGATTGTTGTAAAGAGCTTTGAGTGTCTTGAAACAAGATAGAAAGGAGCTGTATAAGTACAGTCCATTTACCATTTAGTTGTTTAGTTGATCCCACACTGCGGTCAGGTGCGCCTCCTCATCCTCCTCCCTGCTCCGCACCTTGCTCCTTGTCTCAGTATGTCCTGTAGCCACGACCTCCACAGAGCACACCTGCGTCCTGGGACCAGTGCTGTGGATTCAGCACCTGCAGCTCCTCAGTGAGATGATCGTGAGGCGCCCACCGTGGTGGGACAACAAGCGCTGCCCTAAATTTTCAGGCACACGTAGAAAACTCTGTGTAATATTTAGAGCTTTGTCTCTGGTTTAGAGAAGAGCTGCTCTCAATCGTCCTGCTCAGTCCAGAGAAGCGTCCTGGTCGCTCCAACATCTCTTCAGACACTGACTGCAGACAAACAGCTTCATCGTCTGTTTCATCAGTTCAGTGGAAGTTCAGAGAACTCCTGCAGTGATTCACATGTGATTGTTCACAAAAGCACAGAAACTTATGCCTAGTGCAAAACGTTTCATTATATTTTTGTGTTTTATAATAAAATTGCCCATGACTGAACATGAGATTTTTTTGAGTAGGAGCAGAAATGTGAAGCGACAGCTCTGATGTGATGTTACGAAGCTCCAAATGAGTGTTTATGTAATTATTTTCAGTTTATATATCCAATATAGGTTTTATTTGTTCAAGACAGCCAAATTTGTTCCTAACTTTATTATTAGGCCTGAGAGTTACCGGAACACACCCTGTCAAAATAAGAGTTCACAGACCCTTATCCAGCAAGATCTGGCTCAAATTAAGACCTGGTTACCTCTGGTGAACATGTTGCCGTGGTTACCGCAGGTGAACATGTTGCCGTGGTTACCGCTGGAGTGCATGTTGTCATGGTTACTGCTGGAGTACATGTTGCCGTGGTTACCGCTGGAGTACATGTTGCCGTGGTTA